ACACTCTCCTGGGATCATCATTGTACTGGAGAACCAATCAAAACGAATGGAAAATTACGGAAACGAAAAGTTGAGGAAGCGACACAGAACTACATTACTAGAATGCCGAAGTGTGATTTCTGATGAATGTGTGAACAAGAACAGTATGTGTGCTAACAGCAAATGTGGGCATCAGCTACACGAACATGATAATCACAACACGGTAAAAAATCCATGTCCTCCTACATGTGGAAATAGTCAACTTAAGCAGTCACATGCTGCTGTTGAACATACACGTATTATTTAATTGTTTGCACTTGGTTTCAGTAAGGCCTGGCAATCAGCACTTTGTGCAGTGACCGTGACAGGCAGTGCGTTTGATTGCGCCCGAAAATCAATGTTGAATCCATTCATGAATCGCCTCTGGCTATTCACATTACCCCATCAGGCGCGTAGCACAGCTGTTGGAGGTGATCCGGCCGGAGGGGGGTGCGGGGTGTCCCCCTGGAATTTAGGGTGCAAAAACATGGGGTGAATAGGGTGAATGGATTCCGAACCGATTCCAGGGCTTATGACATGAAATTGAACTACGAGATTCCATTCATGAATCGATTCATGGCAGTAATGGAACACACCCACCGTCTTTGTACTATCACTCACGCCATGTCCTAACTTAGTATGTGTGCCATGTATCCTGCTAGCGCAGAAAGGTGTGTTCCGATTTTAATAAGAAGTCATTCCGTGATTTACCACTGATATGGTGCTTTCTTATTGGTCAAGACCTGAGGACCCAAAGCGCTGAGATAATGGTTACACCACCTCTATGTCTATAAACATTTTGGTAAAGCTACTCTACATGTACGTTAATAATGGTTGCGCCATCCCTATGTGTAGTCTTCACTCTCCTGTACTGTTATTAAACCTGCACCCGGGATAATACACTCTAGAGGCTCAACATTTCCACCACTCACTGACTATTGACTGGTACCTGTGCTACTAACACTAGCACCATGCTCTATTCGTTTAGCGCTATCTACTTAGCAGCAGTCCTGACAGCATGAGCTACTAATAGTGCCACTGTTATGTCATTGTAACATAACCGTCTCTTCTAGTAATCACTTCAGTACAGAACTTGGGTGGAGTGAGAGAGGTCATTCTGTTCTTTACTAGAGCATTCTAATCACTGGTGACACCATTGTTGGCAGAGGAGATAGATTTTTTGAAAGGAGGCAGAGTTGAAAACTCGACCCCCCCCCCCCCCTCTCCATTCAAGAGGATTGGTAGTGGAGTGTTTGTTATTGTTGCTTTCATGCTTGGTGGGCTCTTTACTTTATTTGTTGCGATGTGCAGAGTTCTGTATGAGATCATTCAGTCACTACCACCGGTCATTGAGATCTTAGTGCTTCTTATCACCTTCATCACTACATTCGCTGTCATGGGTAGGTGCAGTACTTTCTCCCTCCCTCTCTGTCTCTATGGGTGTGTTTTGTGTGTGAGTGTGTGTGTGTGGGGGGGGGGGGTGTCTCTCTCTCTTTCTCTCTCTGTGCCTCTCTCTCTCTCTCTCTCTCTCTCTCTCTCTCTCTCTCTCTCTCTCACGCACGCACACATGCACACTTGTATGAATTCAGGGCTTTTTGCGCCCCATGACTTGTGTGTCAGTTTGTGATACGTATACAGATGAGTGTTGCTGTACACTGCACGTCTGCTTGTTTGCTTACTTTCTACCTGCTGCTGGTTAGGTTACTATCTATTTGGAACACAGCGGACGGACACGTACACGAACGATTCTCACAACTGGTACTTCTACTCGTTCCAAGACAGCTGGGTGAACTTGTTCATCCTGCTCACTACAGCCAAGTAAGTGCAAGCACATATTACCACACCCAGTTACACATAGTCACACGGGGTCACAAGGTCATAGTCACACATGCAGTACTGTCTGGTGGCGAGGAACTGGGGGTCAGAATCCTAGCCTAGGCCGTGCCTTTTTTTCCATTTACACGTCGGTGCACAGTTGAGTCGCTGTGTGTATATCCGTATGCTGTGCCTGGTGAAATCCTAGCCTGTTTGTTCTTGGGCGCTCCGTTCTTGGGCGCTCCGTTCTTGGGCGCTCCGTTCTTGGGCGCTCCGTTCGTGGGCGCTCCGTTCTTGGGCGCTCCGTTCTTGGGCGCTCCGTTCTTGGGCGACCGACACTAGTGTAATCAGGGCCGGAGGAAGGAGTTCGGGAGTGGTCCGGCGAACCTTTGAGGGGGTCCGGGGGATGTCCCCCGGGAGAAATATTTAAATTTTACGTGAAATAGAGCGAATTTGGGTATCTCTAAGGCTCCAGAAAATGCAGAAAATTATAGTAAAAGAACACAAACACAACTTTTTGTATCCATATCAGCCATACAGTGCCGGTCACGGAGTCCTGAGCTACTTCGAAGCACATCACACGTCAGCAGTACAGTCGAGTCATGCACCTCTGGATTTTTTACACCGGTTTTGCACGAATCACATGGACCATCCAGCTGGGAAAGTGGTCCGGCCATGGCCGGACCAGCCTGACCGGTTCCGCCGGCCCTGCCTGTATGGTACTGTCGGTCCCCAAATAACTGAGGCTCATCCTCCTGGCCTAGACCTTTCTTCTCTGTCAAGTACACACACCCATGCACAGTTGAGTCACCGTGTATACACTGGTATGCTGCGCTTGGTGAAATTCAAGGCTGGTCGTTCTTGGACGCTCCGTTCTTGGGCGCTCCGTTCTTGGGCGCTCCGTTCTTGGGCGCTCCGTTCTTGGGCGCCCGGCAGTACTGTAGTCACGCCGAGTCACACACGCTTACCCTGAGCAACTCCAGTGGGAGAGAACATGCGTGTTAAGAATACCATTCCCAGCCTCTTGCAATACTATCACACTCATTGCACCAACACTCTGCTTAGATTAGACCTGTACATACTTTGAAGTACAAAAAAACATGAACCCTGGGAGGGGAAGCATGATGAATTTATCTTATGCACGATATCCGATCGTTATCGTGCTACCTGCGTGACATGCCGACATAGCATGTGAGCAAATATTCAGGTGCAGATGAACAGGGGTTCCGCTTCACGCTGGTGTTGTGCTTCTCAAAATTTCATCGTCTGTGTTTTAATTCTCGGCTCATACATCCACAAAGTGGAGGTACAGTGTGCATGCAGCGTCAATGAGAAACACACGGGGGTTCAAACAATGCAATAAACGGGGGTTCTTCAATTATTAATATTGTTCAGTCCAGCATGGCATGTTCTTACATATTGGTAAATTTCTAGCCTGGCTGTTCTTCAGTGTATAATGTTCTACCATCTACTTATATTGCTATCTATTGTCTGGGCTCAGACGATGGAAACGTGCAGTAACAGAATTACCCAAGCACTGATCTTTTGACTCTCTACCGACAGATACAGGTTCTCCATGCCGCGTTAGCATGCTTATGACGAAAGCATTTGTCCCTGGATTCTACTGCATGACTGGGTGCATGCATTGTTTATGTGTGTATGTATGTACTTGGTCCGGCTCATCGCAATTGTCGCTTATCTATCGCCACTAAGAACAGGCGTTTTGTTGCCGCTCTGTGAATTTTTCAATAGGCATAGTGAGGAAGCATGACGCATGAATACTGCGCTTGGCATTTGGCAACACAGACAGTGAAAGGCCAGATTTCCACTTCTCAAAAAAGTCGAACACATCGCGATTCAAAGCGCTAGTCGCGATCATTTTTTCTTTGGTGCCTCATTTGATCTTGCCATCACAACCGTCCAAGCAAAAGTAAGTTAGATATCGTGATTGGACTGGGTTTTACCTTTCAAAAAGTGAGTGGGAGATAAGCGACAATTGCGATGAGCCGGACCAAGTATGCGTGCGTGTGTGTGTATGTATGTGTGCATGTGTGTGCGTGTATGTGCGTCTATGTGTTTGTCCTGCGTTGGTGTAGCTATCCTGACGTTATGATGCCAGCATATCGTGACAGTAAATGGGCTGCCATCTTCTTCATCGTGTATCTGATCGTGACATTGTACATTGTAGCTAACCTTGTGAGTCACAGCTCCATCATACTCTCTTCAATGCCACGATGTACATATATAGTGCATGTGTTATTTTACTGAGTGCCTGGGCAATACCGGCGGGTATCGATGTCGGTATTGGCCTAGTACAAGGCCAAGAACACATATATTACGTGCGTACAATTTGATCTCTCGACCTTCAACATAATAATTATTATTTGTTTTGGCCACTTGAAAAACACTTGGGAGGTCAATAGGTCAAACAGCATGGTTTATCGTGCGACAACAGCCTGCTTAAGCGGGCTGCTATGGAGAACTATTGCACACAGAGAAGGCCCCTGATTGGCTGCACCCCCCCCCCCCCACCCCCCCCCCCCCAAAAAAGGCTTGACCTAGGTTCAGCATGCACATAATAACCATGAATGACATGCACCAGCCATCCTACACATATGTGGCCATGCATCTCTAAAGGGGGGACCAGCTATGCCACTGCAGAACATTGATGGATTAACATGTCTGTCTCTGTCTGTCTCTGTGTCTCTGTCTTTGCCTCTCCCTGTCTTTCTCTTTCTTTCTCCGCCCCTCTTTCTTTCTCTCTTACTCTCCCCTCTCTCGCTCTCTTTCTCTCCCTCACATCTCTCTCTCTCTCCCTTTCTCTCTCTCTCTCTCTCTCTCTCTCTCTCTCTCTCTCTTTCTTTCTCTCTATCTCTCTATCTATCTCTCTCTCTCTTTCTCCCTCTCTCTCTCCATCACTCTCTGTCTCTCTCTGTCCGTCTGTCTGTCTGTCTGTCTGTCTGTCTCTCTCTCTCTTATCTCTCCCTGTCTCTCTCTCTCTGTCTCTCTCTGCCTGTCTGTCTCTCTTTCTCTCTCTTTCTCTCTCTCTCTCTCTCTCTCTCTCTCTCTCTCTCTCTCTCTCTCTCCGTCCTGCTGCTGTGATAGGTACTGGCTGCGGTGTACAGCAACTTCAATACTAAAGAAAAGGAGAAGTTTTCACGTCTTTTCATCCATCGTAGGCTAGGACTTCGCAAAGCATTTGAGATCGTTGGTGGCCATGAAGCTGGCATGCTGGACTATGAAACATTCCAAGGTAAGGGACATCTGCACATTTGCACATTTTCCAGTGGTAGTACCGCTGTGCCAATGATCCATTACACACCTGGTGTGGGCAGAACGAGATTCTGTGCGTGATTTGCCCTTTTGGAGGTGAGGATCGCACAGCTATCTTGTGTATCTCTTACTGACGTAATACACCTATACTGCATGATGGGAAAGGAATTAACTAGACTAGACTTAAACTATCACGTAATCCAGTAGCGTGCTCCACTGTGCGAACAGTGCTCAATACACAAGGGCAGAGCCTTGCACACAAGAGAGAGAGTGAGAGGGGAAGCTGAGTTGCAAATCCGAGTTTCACGTAGTCACAATCATCAGGCAATCATCAGGCAATGATTGCCTGATGATTGCCTGATGATTGTGACTACAATGTGGGTACATGTACATATGATTTCCTGTACTTCTGTCTTTTCAGAAATACAGTAAAACCTGTAACTAGCGACCACCGTGACTAGCGACCAACCTGGTACTATCGACCACTTTGCCAGGCGCGGACGGTCCCACATTCAAAATGCACTGTGACTAGCGACTACCTGCTGAACGCGACCAGCGACCGCCTTTTCTCGTCCCAAAGGCGATTTTTGACCCGTAACTAGCGACCGCGATGTAGGAAATCAAAATGTTGCTTAAAGCTCCTTCTTGAAATTTTGCTGATTTTCCATGATGGTCCTGAAAGGAATCTTTCGATACAACAGCTGAACAAATGAACGCAGGTCATTTTGACTGTGGAGTGCATTACACCTGTCAAAAGTTCAAGCGCTGTCAAGAATAAACATGATTGGGAACGTCTTGGAGTGCGCATCGAAAGCGCTCTCTGGTCGATGTTACTACTCGGAGGAGAAACGAAGACTGAGCGGCTCTGTCACCCCAGTGATACAGAGGAATCAATGATGCCATCAAGGAGTTCAGAAAGAAAGCAGCACCTCAATGTCCTGATGCTGAAGGATCGCGTTCAAGCAATCAAGAAGTCACAACAAGGACAGTCGGTACAACTGATCGCATGAACAAATCGTTTGAAGCCCAGCGCAAAACGAAACTTCCACAGGGAACGTTCGACTCCTGGCTTCAGAAGTAGCAGCTGAATTTGATGTCTGCAAAAAAATTAATAATCTTCTCTCAGTGTCTCTGTCTCTCTCCATCTGTCCGTCTATCTCTCCAAGTGTTGTTTGACCTGCAATAAGAATGGCATTGTGCAAGTCCTGGGGAATTGTATTAGCTGCATTTTGATATGCATATCATATAATGGGACCCATATATACGGTCGCGCGGTGCAAACCTCTAACTAAAGACCACCTGCTACTAAAGAGCGCTTTTTCTGGCACCAAGGAGTGGTCGGTAGTCACAGGTTTTACTGTACAAGGTTACTGACACATGAAAATCTGCTTTATGATGCTTGAGGTGGAAGTAATCTGTTGGTTTCTTGGGAAAGCACGCATTACTAGTATCATTATGAGTCCGGCAGTTTATTTGGTGTCTATGTGTCACTATTTGATCACTCGTACAGGTATTGTAAATACGTACTTACCCGGAAAGACCCAGTTCGAGATAGTGTGCATGTTCAAGGCTATGGATCCGGTGAGTCTGATCAACCATACTGATATGCACACACTGTCACACTGTACTATTCACTGCACCTTAAGTCGACACATTTTCGGCCTATTTAAATTTCGGCTTCCCAGGGCTAGAACACATATCGGCTGCAACAAATGTTCAGCCTGTACTGCTGCTGCCTGTATACACTGTCACACTGAACCTTGCAAAACAAAATTTCAGCTGCAACAAATTTTCAACCAAATACGATCAGGCCGAAAATAGCCGAAAATAAATTTGCGCCGAATAGTTGTTGACTTACAGTAGACTAAACATGTGTAATCAACCATAGCGATATATTCAACTCGGATGGTGAGCCAATAAAATTACTAGGGGTGTGCACGGGCAGTCGGGTACCCGTGCTACCCGTGAGGACGTCGGGTACAGAATAGTACCCGAAAACCCGAAGTCGCAGATGACATCATGTGCAGTGCATGTGTACAAATTCATGTAATACCCCGCATGTCCACCCAGTGTGTAAGGGAAGGGGTGCAGTGTGGTATTACCATGGAAACATTACCCGATCGGGTGCCCGTGCTACCCGTGGAAACCTACCAGAACCTGATACCCGAAGAAAACGCTACCCGACTCAGCACTAAAAATTATGGTGAAAAAGGAAAAGGACAAGATGTAAAGAGTTATGACTAACTATCCACCAACGTAACCAGATCTTATACCGTCAGCGAGTGCGACGAAATAGCACAAAACTGACAAGGAGTACTGAGACATTCGGCGACCTGAAACCTAGCTCCAACACTTCTCCAAGGCGCAAACCAACATCCTTCCAACTTAGAAGGCTCAAGTTCAAAAAAAAGGTCCAAGAGGGGAAGGAAAGCGCAAGTTAGTCATAACTCGTAACATTTTGTCCTTTTTCCTTTTTCACCATACTGATATGTACACACTGTCCCACTGGGGTATTCACTGCACCATCATACCTGTATGTACACACTGTCCCACTGGGGTATTCACTGCACCATCATACCTGTATCTACATGTGCTGTTGTACAGAATAGTAACTAGGTTTACAGATCCACAACTGCTAATACATATGAGTCGAAAACAGAGGAGGCAAACAGCCAAGAAGAGGCAGTAAAGAGCAAAAAAGGCTAATGGAAAGAGCCAAAAAGAGGTAGCAATAAAAGGAGAACAACGTTGTTGGTAAATCGATGGTTGTCGGGGCAATGGAGGGCAATGGAGGGCAATGGAGGGCAATGGAGGGCAATGGAGGTGAAGAATAGATGATAATTATGCCAAATAATGAGCAATTAAACTTGGGAGGGCATTGCAGTGTAGTTGCTTTCAAAGTTCAAAGTTGTACGAAATGCATTGTGGCCATCCCGCTCAAAACAATGCCGTGCACCAGGGTACTCGTACTATGTCAAAATATAGGCCTGATAGGGTACCCATATGCTACCCGCATAGAAATCAAAATATAGGCCTGATAGGGTACCCATATGCTACCCGCATAGAAATCAAAATATAGGCCTGATAGGGTACCCATATGCTACCCGCATAGAAATCAAAATATAGGCCTGATAGGGTACCCATATGCTACCCGCATAGAAATCAAAATATAGGCCTGATAGGGTACCCATATGCTACCCGCATAGAAATCAAAATATAGGCCTGATAGGGTACCCATATGCTACCCGGATAGAAATCAAAATATAGGCCTGATAGGGTACCCATATGCTACCCGGATAGAAATCAAAATATAGGCCTGATAGGGTACCCATATGCTACCCGCATAGAAATCAAAATATAGGCCTGATAGGGTACCCATATGCTACCCGCATAGAAATCAAAATATAGGCCTGATAGGGTACCCATATGCTACCCGGATAGAAATCAAAATATAGGCCTGATAGGGTACCCATATGCTACCCGGATAGAAATCAAAATATAGGCCTGATAGGGTACCCATATGCTACCCGCATAGAAATCAAAATATAGGCCTGATAGGGTACCCATATGCTACCCGCATAGAAATCAAAATATAGGCCTGATAGGGTACCCATATGCTACCCGCATAGAAATCAAAATATAGGCCTGATAGGGTACCCATATGCTACCCGCATAGAAATCAAAATATAGGCCTGATAGGGTACCCATATGCTACCCGGATAGAAATCAAAATATAGGCCTGATAGGGTACCCATATGCTACCCGCATAGAAATCAAAATATAGGCCTGATAGGGTACCCATATGCTACCCGGATAGAAATCAAAATATAGGCCTGATAGGGTACCCATATGCTACCCGCATAGAAATCAAAATATAGGCCTGATAGGGTACCCATATGCTACCCGGATAGAAATCCACGAACTCGTTACCCGATCACAAACCCCTACCCATTGCACCCCTACCACTATTTTTTCACTTTGGTGTATCCACACTGCCCTATGGTTGCTTCCCTCAAGAGATCAAGGAGAAGTTCATGAAAAAAAAAGGTTCCCATTCCTTTTCCGAAGATGAGTGAATTCCACCCATTGCTTTCCAGTTTTTGCCGCAAAGAGACAGAACTGAGCATTCATTCAGGCGTGTTAATTAGCCATGCCTGGATGCGTGTTAAGCTTTTCAATGCTGTGTCAATCATGATGTTATAATTATATTCCCGATTTTGTATCTTCACTCCAACACACAGTCTCCGTATTTCCTGTATTGCTGTCCCTGTGTTGCCTGTGTTCAGAAAGGTATTGGTGGCGTTGACCTGGAGAACTGGTTCAACTTCTACGAAGTGGCACTGTATCGCTGGAAAGAAGACCATGACAACAGCACTGGATTATTCTGTTCTGTCAACCTCTACCCGCCGACAATCATGCCATTCTTTGTTGGTGAGTTGGCATTGCTTTTGCGGCACACTGAGCTTGCTGTGGTGTCTCTACTGCATCTTCCATGTTCTTGTTGTGCGTGTGTGTGTGTGTGGGGGGGGGGGGGGGGGCGGGGGTAAGAGGGGGATGCAAGTGCGTGTGCGCATTCTTAGATTCATGTCCATGGTATGTGTATAGATGTGTGTCTATTTGTATGCTGCGTGATTATATTGTGTGCTTGTGAGTGTGTCTTAATCCTCCCATGTCTCCTTTCTCGCCTCCACTGAAATGGAACCCACTAGTTTGAAGGAGTTTGAATGGGGAAAGAATTCTAAAGAAACGTTGACTGTCACGTCCAGGTCTCTAAACAGGGACATGGGTCTAGGCAAGAGATCATACAGTACTGTTTCCACAAGGCAATAATCATGATAGTCATGCTCTCGTTTCTTAAAATCCACAAAGTGCAGCTTGTGGCTATGACTTGTTGGTTGTTGTTCCCCATGCTTATGCTTATGCTCCCCCCCCCCCCCCCATTTACTGCGCCTGACATTCCAAGATGGCGAGACCTCTGGTCGGTTGAGCATGACAGGCCCCACCAGCACCATCTTATCCCCTGCTAGCCCCATGTGCCTGCAGCCGAGAGTTGTGTGCCTTGTGAAAAACTTAAAATGACATAATCTCACTCATCACACTTTTGTCTTGCTTTGTTGTGTCTTCCTGACCCTCTGTCACACGTACCTACATGCAGTACTGAACAAGATTGTCACTCATCGCTTCTTTGAATGGTTCATCGATTTCTGTATTGTGGTGAACGCGGCATTCCTCATTGCTGAAGCTGCCCTTACAACGGATCAGGATGAGGGCAGGCATGCAATATCTGTGAGTTGTCCTCTTCTGCTGTGTTTACCTATATTATAAATTGTTCACTGAGTTTGAATTGCCCTCCATGCACACTCAGCTGTGTGTGCGCATGTGCGTGTGCGTGTGTGCATGCGTTTATGTGTGTGTGTGTGTGTGTGTGTGTGTGTGTGTGTGTGTGTGTGTGTGTGTGTGTGTGTGTGTGTGTGTGTATGTGTGTGCATGTGTGGCCATGTTATCACATTACGCGTGACCTGTGGAGTGTGTATATGTGACACGAATATTGTTTGCCTCATGATTGCACACAGTGCATGAAACTCAAGAGTAGCAAAACACTACGAGTGATCCATTGTTTGTTGACATACCGTATTTCCCCGTTAGTTAGTTCTCCCCAATGACTTAATACCCCCTAAAAAATAAAAATAAAAACACTTTCCACTGCCGAGGTTATCACCCCGAAAGACAGTTCCCCGAAAGATAGTAAGTTCGTACCTGTCCTACATGTACAGACACCGTACAGTACAAACATCATATGCACGGACACTAGAGTTGCGCAGGCTTCCCACTGCGTGACATTTACCCCCGATAAAAAAGCACTCCCCGAAAGATAGTTCCACCTCCGAAAGTTAGTACTCATGTGGCTGCTAAGTTCGAAAGTTAGTACGTACTAGCTTACGGGGAAATACGGTATTACACACCACATACATGGTCAGCTGAGTGTGAGATGAAACTTATCACATGCTTGTTCGCACAGTCATGTAGTGTCCATCACCAGTGTGGCTTTACGCGCAGTCATTATGTCCAGCACTCCTCGAGCAGTCTTGGTATGTGTGTGTGTTTGTGTATGTATGTGTGTACGTATGTATGTGTATGTATGTATGTGTGTATGCACGCACGTGTGTGTGTGCATGAGTTTGTAAGTTTTGTATGCATGTGTGTGTATGTGTGTATGCGTGTGTATATGCGTGTCTGTGCGTGCGCATGTGTATTTTGTTTCCTCCCATGGCGATGATCATTGTTGTGCTGGTTTGCATAGGACTATGAGCAAGTCTTCCTCACCATCTACACAATAGAAGCTGTGATGAGGATCTGTGGAATTGGCTTCAGGGCCTATTTCTCCAAGGGATTCAATGTGTGAGTCAATGTGTAAGATGTCAATGACCATGATCATGATCATGATCATGATCGGGGAATGATGATATTATACTTGCAGTGCTCGACATGGGATATTCCAAGGAAGCATGCCCCCCCCCCCCTGGCAGTATAATAAATCTGTACATACTCTATTTTCCGGAGTGTAAGCCGCACTTTCAACACCAGAGTAATTCACCTCAAAAAAACGTCTGTGCGGCTTATACTACAAAGGTCAAATTCAGTAACGGTGCTAAAATTTGTAATAGGGTAGTTTAATTTGTATTTCGTGACAAAAGACCTGGGTGCAGCTGATACTCCAGTTTGTGGCTTGTACTCCAGTGCGGCCTATACTCCGGATAATGCGGTAGATCGCTAATATATGGCTCAATAGCACACCTACATTATCACCACCGCCGCCACCACCACCAAATTTCTCTGTGACACACACCCATGCAGAGAACATCAAAAGCTGCAAACTTGGGTTTCATGCATTCTTGCTAAAACACACAATTAGCCCAGCCTTCATGGCTTTGCTCTGCAACTGTGATGGTTGATGGTCATATTGATAGTGGGTATCCAGCCAATGTTTCTGTGTTCTGTGATGGTGTTGCTGTGTAGGTTTGATTTCATCATTGTTGCTGTGAGTCTGTTGGGACAAGCTGGTAAGTATACCACTTCCATAATATCACCATTACTTTACCATTACATCACCATTACATCACCAATATTTTACCATTACTTTACCATTACATTTTATTTTATTTATTTATTTTTATTTCTGCACCTCGTGGCATGTCAAGACAGCCAATTGAATTGAGGAGAGGGTGAGACCAACCACGGAAGAAGAGAAAAAAAGAAAATTAAGAGCACGTACACAAAGTGGGAAGGGATTAGCAACTTACAAAGCAATGGGATGCTCAGCGAGCTATGCAGCGGAAGTGGTGACTGTGACTTTGTTTACTGGGAGATACTGAAGTGCTGTCTGACGAGGGTAC